CGGGCTCCTTTCCCTGGGGTGGAAAAGTGGGTCAACTCTCTCCAGGTCTCGAGGGCTTTCGGGGCTACTTGGACACCATCCAGCCCTCCGCCTCTCACCTTCCCACCTGCTCCCCCACCTGGCGTGGCCGTTAGGAACCGCCGGAGCCAGCGATGCGGGAGCTTGCACACATGGCTCGGGAGGCTCGAGTTGCCCTTCGGAGCGGCTGCCGGGCTCTAAAGTTCCCAAGTGACCACACCAGTAACTAAATATAGGAGCAGCTGGTGCGGACGGGGTGTCGCAGCAGCTCCTTTGCACAGATCTCCGGGCTCCAGATAAGGTAGAGTTCTCACTGGGGAGAACAGGAGCGCCCGCAGGGGGCTGCAGTCAGGGGTTAAGCAAAAATCACCCCAACTCCAGCCTTGTATCCCGGTGAAACTAGGTCATAGATCCAGAAGGGCCTGTTGCCAGCTCCCACAAAGGAAGACAACTTTTCTGGCATTCAGTTTCTTGTATCCTAACTTACTGTCTGTACCTGTTAAATCACCTAGGGGTAATGCGTTAATGTGGGAAGTGCTTAACGTTGGCAAAGACCTTTCGCAAAAGACATTTTGCCAAAGGTCTATCATTTACTTTTCTAAACAACCCAGTGAGGGAGGTGGCATTTCCAACTGCTCACAAATCCTGGTAACTTTCCAAACTCTGGTCTTGGGCAGCTGTCCTCAGAAAACTTTGCCTCACTCCCTGCAGAGAAACAGCACAGAGTTTCGGTAGGGCCTACGGCCTCCTGCCCCAGTGGTCTGGGGACAGATTGGCCACCTGTCTCCCTCTTTCTCTCATCTCGTTGGGTCCCTCTGCTCAGACCGTGTCTCTCTTCCCGTCGGGCAGGGGCACACATGCTCCTTGGGCCTGGCGTCACAGCCCTACTAGCATCTAGCTCATTCTTCCTCCTGTCACTCAGTCTCTCCTAGATGAGGGAAGCTCATTCTGGCCCATGCCCCATCTCTATAACTTTATTCCGCTGTGTGGCCCTTTTAGAAGGTGCCCAGGAGATGTTTGTTGGATTTAAACATTTCCTGAGGCTATGATGCCCGCTCCCAGGAAAGAAGAATTGGGGATGCAGGGAGAGGAATGTGTGGCTGGGGGCAGCAGCTGTATGAGTACAGCTTTGGAGCCTGTGCTGAAGGGTCTCCAGGATTTGGAGCACTTGGCCTTGAAATTAGCTAAGGCTTCCCTGCAGTCCCTTGGGGACACTCTCTGACTTTCTTCTACTAACGACTCTGCCTGTGGGTTTGCCCCAAGGAGCCCAGAGCTTGAGTCTGTGGGGTTCTCCTGGGGCTCTGTAGTTGGGTTCCGGTTCCAGGAAGGCTCCTTCGCATGCTGATTTTGGTTGACTCACGTTGTTTATAGAGACAGGGGCCCTCACGCCCTAGGGCGCTGCCCTGCCTAGGGGCTTTTGCACTCTGTCAGAAGTAGGTCCATAGTTCTCTCTGCCACTTATATGTGACCCAGACAGTTTTCTATTTTTCTCAAAAACAGTGTTAAACAAAAGAAAAGAATAGCTTTATTTTTATTTCTTGCCCCGCCCCCCCCTACCTCCTCTCTTGGGGTTTCTGTTATATGCTAAATAAATCTTGCTTTTATTGTTGTTAAAGAGGCCCAGTGTTGGTTTAGATCTGAAAGGAGCAGTCAGTGACGTTGCCCTTTGGGGGACCCATTCCAGACTCCTATCCTGTTCTTGCCTCAGTCTGGGGCCCCCTTACCCCATCTCGGACCTTACACAGCATGTGGCCCTACCATGCTCCTCCCTCACAGTCCTGGCTGTGCCAGAGTGACAAGCCTTTGTCATCTGACCCGAGAGAGGCAGAGTGACCTGGACTGTAAGAAGGAATTCTCCCTTGAGAGGGGAGGAGTTGTGTTAGGTGAAGGGAAAGTGGTTTCCTGGTCAGTTAGTGGGGGTGGCGATTTTGGGCAGCAGGTACCTTTCGAGGGTCTAGGACACATCTGTGCTGTACCCAGAGCATCCTCTGGAATGTAAGGGGCCCTTCCTACTAGTGATTTTCTCTGACAGCCAGACCTTGCAGCTTGCTCCTGTTCCTGCTTTGATGTCCATTCTCTGACCCACACCGTAGAATGTCTTCACTTGCCACAGGGGGTGAGATTTTTAATTTAATTAGTTTTCATCAGTGGGCTCTATGGCCTAAGGCATCCCCTGCCCTGCTCCTCCTCCCCCCCCCCGCCCCCCACCAACTGGTGGCAGCTAGGAGAATTGTAAGCATAGTGCCTGGCTGAAAGTAATCAGCCCAGACAGTTCCCTGCAGGGTTAGCGCAGACCCTGGGCAGCTTGGAGATCTACCTTCCCTTTGCCTTGTGCTGGGAGGTCAGGATTGCCTCAGTGATGTTTCCTAGAGCTGTCCATCAGAATCACAAGTCAGAGCTTTTTCCTGTGTTTCTGCCCTTTTCATTCTTACGCTGTATACCTAGTAGCTGCTCCATATGTTTTTGTGATTATGGATGATAAGTATTGGAGATAGAGCAAGAAGGAGCGTGGTATAGTAGGAAGAATCCTAGGCTGGGAGTTAGGAGACCTAGCTTCTTTGTTTCCCATCTCATTTGTTTCCCCTCTTGAGCCCTCAGTGTTCCCATTCATAAGGGTTAGAGTAAGTCACCAAGATCCCAGCAACATCGCTGTGACTCAAGCTTAGGGGATGGTCCTAAGGGCAGAATGGTTGAGGTGTTGGGTTTAGTTTGCCATAGTCCTCACTATTCCCCACTGTCCCACCCTGGCCCACCTTATGCAAGTTGTCTACCTAGCATCATTAAGCCTTTGACTCTATGACCCTTCTCAGTTAGACACGGTCTTAGATTTATTGTAAGAGTCTATTGACTTGTATTTAGAGTTGAAACCCAACTGATGGCTGTTGATCATCATCATCACCATTGGGGTATCCTAACTAGGCATCTGTATTCAGTTTGTGGTGTAAAGTGTGGGGGAAGGGGAAAGCACAGTATAGAGCTGCTCCCTGTGCCAAGCTGCCCACAGGCCGACTGGGGAGACAAGTATGTATATTTTAAAAAGCTCACAAACAAACCCAGGTGGCTTGTGCTAAATCCTTAAGTGGTGCCAAAACTCAGAGGGAGGAGAAAACACTGAAGGCTGAGGCAATCAGGGAAGACTTCGTGGAGGTGGAGAAGGAAATTCTAGTCATTCCTTAAAGAAGAGTTCCACTTAGTTCCTTGTTCAGGTCACATGGGTATGAAACTGGGATTAGAAGCCAGTGTCCTGTCTGCATGTGTACTGTTTTATCCTCTTGACTAGAATTTGTTGAGACCTACATGTCCTGGGCCTTGGCCTGGAAAGATATAAATATATTTTTTAAAGATTTTATTTATTTATTTGACAGAAAGAGACACAGCGAGAGAGGGAACACAAGCAGGGGGGAGTGGGACAGAGAAGCAGGCTTCCTGCTGAGCAGGGAGCCCGATGTGGGGCTTGATCCTGGAACTCTGGGACCATGACCTGAGCCAAAAGCAGATGCTTAACGACTGAGCCACCCCGGTGCCCCTGATGTAAATATTTTTGTTCAGTCCTCATATGAATCCGGTGAGGTGGGTATTACTAGCTCTCCTAGTCAAATGAAGAAACTACAGCTCAGAGTAGTTAAAAATCTTTCCCAAGGCTCCTGAACTAATAAATGGCAGAGTTGGGCACTAGGCCTGTCTTCAAAAAAACTAGTCTGTTTCCACTACACCGTGGGTCTCAGACCTTCAGCATTAGCCTCTGTGGTGAGATGCACCCACATACGGGATTCACCACTAACTCGATCAGCAGACGGATGGGCATGGCCACCCAGCTCAGCCTTGCCTGCCCTGCCTGTGTAGTTGAGCTCATTTGCATTTTTACGCGGTGGCTGATAGCAACTGGGACCCCTCCCCCACCCCCCTTCTTTCTGTCCCCACCTTCTTCGACCTCTGACCCTGAGAGCGAGCCCATTAGAACTCCTTGAACTGTCTTTGAAAGCTGGGATTGGGATCCAGAGGCGAAAAAGGGCACTGACCTTGGCCCCCAGTTCATTCTGTCCCCGGGGTGCTGCTGCCGGTGTCGTGGATGACTTTTGTAAAGAGGTGAGCGCCGGGTGTGGAGCGGGGCTGTTAACATTGTTGCTGTTGACTCATTTTGAGCTTGGCCAGGTCATCTAGTCCTTCTCTGTGCCTCAGTTTCCTTCTCTGTAATGAACGGAGTTGGAGACCTTTCTAGAGTCCTGCATGTCTGTAACACCAAATAACTTTGTGTTCCTCACCCTTTTTGAAGCCTTTTCTCCCCCAGTGAATCCAATTTCCCTTCTTTCCTTTCCTCGCCCCGCCCCCCTTCTCCCTCTGGGTCTGATAGATAAACTCTGATCAAGGCTGATCCTCGGGTCTGCGGGCTAAAACTGTAACCAACCGTAGCCTTCCCTCCAAGTTGACAGGTGGGAAGGGAATGCTTAGAGACCCGTCCCCCCCAGACTGTGAGCTCCGACCTGGCAGGCTGGCTCCATTTGCCTCTGTGCCCCTACTTCCCAGCACGCAGGAGGTGCCCGGCAGAGGTGGGTGAGGTGAGCCCGGAGCTGGGGGATTTGTCCCTGTGGTTGTGTACAGGGCACCCGTCCAGAGGCTGTGGGATGGAGGGACAAGTGTCTCTCCCCTGCAGTTGGCCACGCTCCGGCTCACCCCCACTGCTCCGCCTGTTAAGTGTGTCACAGGGGGCACACACCTGAGTCCTCACACCTGCCTGGCCACTGTTTCAAGCCCTTGCCCTGAGTCTGGTGAGGTCACACCTGTGGACCCACCCAGGAAACTGGTTAGGCTAGGCTGCCCACGCCTCTGATGGGCAGATCAGCTGCACATGGCCTGGTCTCTGGGCCTCTCTGGAGGAAGCCTGCAGGCTTCCTGCAGCCTGGGTCCCACCCCGTGGGAGGATGGCTTTGGGGGTGCGTCCCCAGCCTGGGGGCGGGCACTTCATGGTCCTGTGTCTTCCCCAGGCACGGGCCCCCTTGTGAGCAGCAGACCGGCCTGGTGGCTGGCAGCAGGACCCCCTCGCCTGCATGCTGAAGAAGATGGGTGAGGCCGTGGCCAGAGTTGCAAGAAAGGTCAACGAGACTGTGGAGAGCGGCTCTGATACCCTGGGTGAGTGAGGCCAGGGCCTTTCCAACTGCAGGGCGCCCCGCAGGCAGCGTGTGAAATCAGCTTAGATGTAGAAGTGAAAGAGAAGAGCAAAGAGACGGTATCACTCTTGTCCCGAGGAGAAGCGTTCCATGGAGTTTTATTGCACTTGTGCTTGGTGTGTGCGCACCAAGGAACCTGTCTGTACTGCCGCCGACTTGGAGTGGGTGTGTGCCCTTGGCCCAGGTGACAATAGCTGCCGCTGCCGAGGAGCCCCAGGTCCCAGGCCCCGTGCAGGTGCCTCATGAGTGTCGCCATATTGAATGCTCACTGTGGCCTTGTGATGGTGGATACCGGCCAAGCATGCCTAGCCTTGGTCTTCAGATGAGGAGGTGATGGAGGGTCGAAGGCAGAGGGGGCTTTTCCTAGGTCATCCAGCCTAGAGGCCCCTTTTCACACCACTATTTTACTTGAATTGTGTCATATATTTTTTGCTCTACTTGGTCATAGCGTTTTATGCCAAGTCTTCAAGCATCTTAACTGAATTCAACAGATACTTATTGACTGTTTGCACATGTAAGGATTACATGCATGTGTGTATGTGTGTCTCACCAGCTGGAATGTGTGTACCCCTTAGAGCCGTTGGCATATTGTGGGAACCCCCAGGAGGGGAGCACGTTCCTGCCTCGGGGGTGATTGTATAATAGGGTGGGATGTGAGTAGGGCCTTTGGCACGCAGAGAGGAATTCCACAGGCAGGTAGGGCTGTGTGTGCCCATGTGAGTTTGTGTCTGTCTCTCCAAGGAGCATTTCCGTGGAAGTTATTGCCTGACCAAAGATCCAGAGACTGGGAAGGTAGAGCGTTTCTGTGAACAGCCATTGGTCAAATGTGTCTGAGGCTCCTGGGCAAAGCGTGGTGGCCTAGAAAGTGGAGGGTCACTCAGCCTTCAAGATGAGTTTGGGGGACGCCTGGGTGGCTCAGATGGTTAAGCGTCTGCCTTCTGCTCAGGTCGTGATGCCAGGGTCCTGGGATCGAGTCCTGCATTGGGCTCCCTGCTCAGTGGGGAGTCTGCTTCTCCCTCTCCCTCTCCTCCCTGCTTGTGCTCTCCCCCTCTCCTCCCTGCTTGTACTCTCTCCCTCTCCTCCCTGCTTGTGCTCTCTCCCTCTCCTCCCTGCTTGTGCTCTCTCCCTCTCCTCCCTGCTTGTGCTCTCTCTCGCTATCTTCCACTATCTCTGTCTCTCTCTCACTCTCAAACAAATAAATAAAATCTTTAAAAAAAAAAAAAGATGAGCTTGGTCACCACCTCCTTCAGGAAGCCCTCAGCCCTACACCATCCACCCCTCACCCTTTCTTCCTCTGTAACTTTTCATTCAGTGTCCCTAGAGGGCAGGGACGTTTGCCCCCATCCCCCAAGAGCCAGAGCCGTGTCAGGTACTTTGTAAGCACATAGTGTTTGCTGACCTGAGCTAAAGCAAGAGAAGCATTTCCTCTGGCAGCAGACAAACTTGAAGGTTGTGGTTGATTTTGGAGGGAAGTTTCTGGTGAGCTGATAGCCATGGGCCTGTAGGAAAAGAATTCCGGAATCCCATGCTCGTCACTGACATGGTCGTACTTAGCCCAGTGTTCAAGGCTCTATAACACTCACGCGGCCTGGATTTGAGTCCCCACTCTGCCACCCACTAGCCCACTCCCTTAGTAGGTTGCCTAACCTCTAACTGAACCTGGTTTCTTCATGTCTGTAATGGGGATGGTGACTGCTCCTACCTCATCAAGGTAGGCCACAGTGGCCTGGTCGGAGAGGAGTTGAACGTTTTATTTAGCCTTGGCTGTCTTGACTGGAGCTCGAAACTTTCACAGGGAGGTGACCGGGTCTTTAAAATTAGGTCAGACCGATGGAGGCCCATTTATCTCTTCAGTGCCCAGCGAAGAAGCAAAACTCCAGACCAGGCCACTGGGGGCGCTTGCAGTCCTGACCCTTCAGCAGGTGGAGTTCCCTGGGCTCATGCAGTCTAGAGGGGCCTGGCGTCTAAGCTCTCTGCATGTACTGAGCATCTGCTGTGTGCAAGGTGCTGGGGGGGCTCCCTCGAGCTATGTGCAGTAGAGTTCTGGACGTGAGACCAGCCCACCGCTGTGGGACCGAGAGCAGTGAGTGACAGGAGATTTCCATGCTGAGCCAGGTCAGACACACCACAGGTGGTCGGAGTTCAGAGGTGTGGGAAATGTTGCCGAGTGTTAAAGGCATCTGGGAAGGCTTTCTGGAGGAGGTGGGAATTGAAGTGGGTCTTGAAAGATGGGCGAAGTAACCCAATATGGTTCTCATGTAAAACAGCAAGCAATCTGACACAGCCTAAAAAACCAGCCCCAGAAAATGGCTTAAATAAATTTTGTTAAAGCTGTACAATGCAATTTATGGAGCTATTAAAAGTAGTGCATAAAATTTCATTGCATGCTTGAATGAAGACCTGCAGATTGTTCCGGAGAACATGAGTTAGAAAAAAGCAAGGATCCCAGTCTCTATAGTGAGATGCTAGTTATGTTAAACATGTGTATATACAGGGGAAAAAATTGAAAGGAAATAAAACAAGACACAAATGGATGTTAGAAGTACTCTTGTGCATTTCCTGAACGTTCTATGATAAACATATTACTCTTTTAAGTAGAGAAGTATGGATTTTAGGGAGAGGACCACCTGCCACTGTAGGAAGTGGAAGTAACACTTCCCAACAGCAGATGAGAGTTCCGGGGATTGCTCCTTCTCTCAGCCCGTGGGTGCAGACAGGGCTTCTCCGGCTTCCTCCCTTCTGCTGGCTTCGCCTCCCTGCCTCCCTGTGCACAGGCCTGGGATGTAGCCCTGAGATGGCTGGCTTAGAAGCCGCAGGTGTCTCTGCGGGGCGGAAGGTCCCTGTGGAGATGGAGACTGGGCTGGGAGAGCTCAGTTACAGGCTCTCACCTTACTCAGGTCAGCATCATGCGCGCTCCCCCCGGGCACTCGTGGGTGCCCTCTGGAGCCAGGCTTGCTTCTCCTGCAACCTGAGCCGTGGCTCCGGGCCCTTTTCTCCCCACCCCAGGCCTCTTCATCACCCCCTGGCCCCCCTGGTCTACCCCTCAGCTTGAGCTAAAGCCACTTTTCCCCAGCCGCTTACCCCTCCTCAGCATTTTCGAATGAGCTTGCAGAGTTGGGAACTCTGCACCGTCCTCAGGTTTTCCTCTCCATCCTTTCTTTGTGTCCCCAAGTTAGTTCTTTGTCTTTGTCAAGGCCTCACGCCCACCTGGGCTCCCTGGGTCCTCAGACCCTCAGGGGCCTCTGTCTGACCTCACTGTTCCCTTGGCAGGCTGGGCTGCCCTGCACCCCACTCTTCTCCAGGGGAGAGGCTCCCAGGCCTTTGGGGATGACTTTTAAAACCTAATCATTCTTGCCAAGGAGCGGGACTTGGAAAGGTCTGGGAGAGTGGCTGGCTGGGACAGAGACTCTGGCAAAGCTGGCGGGGCAAAGGGGCACCCAGCGTGAGCCGACATTTCCCAGGGCCTGCTGCGTGCTGGGCACAGATGTTTGACACCTCTTTTCATCCTTTCTCTGGTCTTTTGTGCTTCCTTCCAGAGGATTCCTGCCTGTGTTCATTTCAGGAAAATTCTGAGTCATTAGCTCTGGGCACATTGCTTCCCCCCATCCCTTGGGTCTCTTTTCCCCAGAATTCCTCCTGGGGTTCCATTCTGGGTGTCCGTGTCTCTAGCATATTGCCTTTCTCTCCATCTCTCTGCTACATTCCGAGATCCTTCGGCCATTTCATGGTTTGCTTCTCCATTTGTGTTCAGTCTGCTCTTGAACCCGTCGTTGAGTATTAAGGTTACGTATTTTATTTTCAAAAGTTCTGGGGGCACCCGGGTGGCTCAGTTGGTTAAGTGTCCGACTCTTGATATCAGCTCAGGTCTTGATCTCAGGGTTGTGAGTTCAAGCCCTGTGTCGGGCTCCACGCTGGTGTGGAGCCTACTTAAAAAAAAAAAAAAAAGTTCTGTTTGGTTTTTTTAAAAATCTGATTTTATATACTCTGTTTTCTCTTCAGATCTGGTAGATCTTTTACCTTTTACTAAAAAAAAAAATCCTACTTAAGGAAATAATATCTTATTCCTTTCTTATGTGTTTAAATCTATTTTTTATTTCTTTAATCATTTGACTGTTATTGCCTTTTTTATCTTTTGTACTCTCTCTATCACAGGGAGTTCTCAGTGGCCCATGTCTGTTGTTCCTGTTGACCCCAGCTCACAGTTGGGTGTTCTGGGTGGATGTGATGGAATTTCAGACCCTGTACTGTTGTCTGGTGGAGCCTTGTCTGGGCTGAGGGGGTGTCCTCCAGGGGGGTTGCGGTTGCTTCCCCCAGACACCTGCCTGTGACCAAGTTAGAAACACCTCTTTTGTTAGAACCAATCTTTTTCGGCCTGAGGGGTTTCTGGGCTGTAAGGGAAAGGAATATTCAAACCCGGCACTCACTGTGAGGGCAGGCCTGTGATTTCAGAATCATAGAGGAGATTTGTTTTCTATGTTAATTCAGTGCCTGGGCCAAGATAGAGCCACGTTCTTATTATGAAAACGTGTGTCTTATCCCTAGTCCACTCTTTCTCTGAAGGCAGGCCTTCAGACCTCCAGCTTTCCTTGGGGTCTCGGCTTCAGCGTCCCTCAGGCAGGCCCAGCGCTGCCTTCCTGCCCCCTTCTAGGCCTTTCAGCCCGAGCCCCCGGCAGCCCAGCCTCCCAGCAGCTGTGGCCGGCGGAGCATCAGTGTCGCTGTCCCGTGGACATTCCTCTCGCTCTCCCACGCCCGCAGCTGGCTCTTATTAAACTCCAGGCAGTGGTGGCAGCACTTGGCTGCCTCACTGAATCCCCACAGTGACTTTGGGACAGGAGTGATCTTTTAATATCCCCATTTTACAGATGAAGAAACCGAGGCAGAGCTTTGCAAATCAAGGGTTTCTTAAGGGGTTGGTGGCACGAAGGTGTTCAGCTTGTCTCCTCTGCCATGTTGCTTCTGAAG